TTTTTTTGAGATAGGGTCTTACTGTGTAGTTCAGGCTGGCCTTGAACTCTTAGTGATCCTCCTGTCTCAGCCTCCCAAGTCCTGGGCTTAGAGGCATGCACCCACTCCCGGCTTTATTCTGGGTATTAACTCTGCTATATTCTAAATGTGCCCCCTAAACTCCTGAGTTGTATCTCCTCAAGTTTGAGACCAGCCTGGGCTACAGAGTGAGTTGGAGGCCAGCCTGAACTACACAGTGAAACCCTGTCTCAAAAAGACAAAACAACAAACACACACAAAGAAACAAAAGCATTTTCCACACTATGGCTTGAAAACCTTTTGATAGTCACGAAATTAATTTGGTAGAGTGTAGCTCATATTATATCATCTTTTAAAGAACAGAATAGAGCTGGGTGTGGCAGCACACCCCTGTTAATTCCAGCTCTCAGGAGGCTGAGGCAGAAGGACCTTGACAAAGCAAGTTTAAGGCCAGCCTGGGCTGCATACCTAGTGTGACCCTGCCTCAAAAAGTAAAATTGAGTAGTATAGATTAGAAAATATCAAACAAGTCACCTTGTGCAGTACAGATAAGGACTGTTTTAGAAACTTTCTTCCAGTGTGTGAGAGGCTGTCAGACAAAATGGATTTCTGATCCTATGAAGGATCAGAAATTTTGAAAAATACTATGGTTAGAAATTTTGACTTACTGCAGACTGTTATGGTTGATACATTGTGTCAACTTGAGGTTGCCAGAAGCTTAACTAACTCAGCAGTTCTGCATCCTGGAGTGTAGAGGACATGCCCTTACCACTCTAGGATGTTGTACATTGTGTCAACTTGAGAAGTTTAGAAGGTAAACTAAGTGACTCAGCAGGGAGTCAGGGTCCTTACTTTGTATTCATCCTGAGCCTGTGCAAGAGGAGGGCATGGAGATGGTGGGAGTGTTACACCCCTGGGGTGGGGGTAGCCTGCTTACAATATAAAAGCCATTTGCGCCCCACCCCACCCCCTGTGCTCTTGCTGCTTTTGCTATCTTGTGCTGCCTTGAAGTATTGCCCCTGTACCATGTGCCGCCCTGCCTTGGAGCCAGCTGATCATGGACTGAAACCTCCACAAACTGTGAGCTAAATAAACATTTCAATAAATAAATAAATAAACCTTTCCTTCCTTAATTTTGGGTGTCATGTATTTTGTCTCAGCAACAAGAGAAAAGTAACCAAGACTCATGCCTATAATCTCAGCACTCGGGAGGCTGATGCAGGAGGATCGCCATGAGTTTAATATCAGCCTGGGCTACAGAGTGAGTTCAAGGCCTTGGACACATAGTGAGTCTCAAAAAAAAGACAGATTTTGAAAAATATTCCACTACAGCCCACTGCACTTGGACTGGCTGGAATCCAGCTGTGCTGGCGGTTTTCCAGGTGTGCCGACCCCGCACCTGGGCCTCTGCCCTCTGTGACGACAGCAGGGCCCGTGCTAGAGCAGTAGGGGCCACATCATGTTCCTGCAGAACCAGAAAGCCAACCGCTACACTAAGTTAGTGTCTTTATTTGGATTTTACTCGTGCTCTTTTGGCTTGGTTCTCTATTTGCAGGAGATCTGTAAGTGCAGCTGCCCTTTAGAAGTCGAGGAAGAATGGTGTTAGGACGCTCCAACCCCGTGAATACTGAACCTGACAGTGCTCGGGTCTCGTATATAAAACGGGGTGGTGCTCACTTATTACCCATGCTCCATCTGCCCACCCGTCTATTTCAGCTGTCTGGAGATGGCTGACTGGGCTGGGGATATAGCTCAGCAGCATAAGCACTTGCCTGGCAAACCTGAGGTCATGAGTTTGATGCCCGGTACCAAAAAAAAAAAAAAAAAGAGATGGCTGACAGTGCCTAATACAATGTAAATGCTAGGTATGGAGTGGTTGTATTGTTTAGGGAACAGCAGTAAGAAAACAAAGTCTAGGCCAGGCATGGTGGTGCACACCTGTAATGCCAGTACTCAGGAGCCTGAGGCAGGAAGATCTCCGTGAGTTCAAGGCCAGCCTAGGCTACGTAATGACCTCAAGGCCAGCCCGAATTATATAGCAAACCCTGTATCCCAAAACAAAAACAAAAAAGGAAAGAAGGAAAAGCAAATCTATATGTTGGGTACAAATACAACTTTTTTTCTTTTTTTGAAACAGGGTCTCATTATGCAATTCAGGCTGGCCTTGAGCTCACTTTGTAGTCCAGGCTGGTTACAAACTCGCAACGATCCTCCTGCCTCAGCCTCCCAAGTGCTGGGATTACAGGCATGCGCCCCCATGCCCGGCCTGAACTCACTATCGGGTGCTGGGATTACAGACATCTGCCGTCATACCTGGCCCAGTTGCAATTTTTTAAAATTTTTTTTGATTTGCAATTGGTTGAATCTCTGAATGCAGAACCTGTTGAATATAGTGGGCTGATTGTATAAAGGTGTTACACCTAGTTTTGTGCTTGTATATATCCATAAAAATAATTTCGTACATATTTATAAAAATAATTTGAGGGTGGCCCCAAACTCTGGACTCAAATGATCCTCCTTCCTCAGCTTTCTCAGTAGCTGGAACTACTGAATAGCTACATGTGACCATGTCCAGCTTATAAAATCATTCAGGCCTACAGTGGGAGTCTAAGAACATTTTATTTCCTTCATAAGGCTGTGCACATAGCAACGGAGCTTGAGGAACACTGTTTAGGTGGTTTACTGAGCCCCCAAGTTCACATCCACAGGGGCCAGGGATATAGCTCAGCGGCACAAGCACCTGCTTGGCAGGTGCAAAGTCCTGAGTTTGATACCCGGTACCAAAAAAAAAAAAAAATCTCCATGTAAAAAATAATCTGCAATGAGAAACAGTTAAAAAAAAAAAAAGTTCACATCCACCAGGAATATGACCTGTGGGAAGAGGGTCTCTGCAGATATAATCAGTCAAGTAAATGATGTTATCCTGGATTAGGGTGGGCCCTAAACTCAGTGACTGGTGTCCTTGTAAGACAGCCATGCAGAATTGCTTTTTGTTTTTGTTTTGTTTTTTTCCAGTACTGGGAATCGAACTCACAACCTTGCCCTTGCCAGGCGCTTGCCGCTGAGCTAAATCCCCAGCCCCGCCATGTAGAATTGTGTGGTGATGCACATCTGTAATCCCAGCACTTGAGAGGCTGAGGCAGGAGGATCTCTGTGAGTTCAAGGCCAGCCTGAACTACATAGCAAGATCCTGCCTCAAGAGAGACAGAGACAGGGACAGAGAACTGTGCAGAAACAGACAGGAAAAAGTCCACACGGTGACAGAGGCAGAGTCACCCTGTCAGAAAGCAAGGAGTACTAAGGACTGCAGCCACGACTGCCACCCAGCAAGCAGTAGCCAAGGTCCTGTGGACACCTTGGTTTCAGGCTACTTTAAGCCACCAAGCTTATGGCTACAGCCCCCAGGGAAACCGTATGGGTGGCACCCTGCCCAAGAAGAGGGGTGCACAGGGTGGCCCCAAAGCCATCCCAGGCCCACCCTCCTGGCAGGAATGCCATTCTACAACTTGGGCTTCCCACGTGGGGAAACTGAGGCCCAGGCAGGCGCAGAGGTCGAGAAGGACTGGAAAGCAGGACCCTTGGCACCCGCCCCCGGAGCCCAGCTGCACTCACCGCGGCGCTGGCGGCTGTGCTGGTGGCAGGGGCCGTCGCGGCCTCGATGTCGGCACGGGGCGCACGGCGCGGCAGCCCACAGCCGACGTGACGGGGACTCCTCAGGTCCAGCTCGGAGGTGCAGGGCCTCGCGCACAGGGGCTCAGCCCCCTCCTCGGGGCCCTCTGGGCTGAAGCCACCGTCCCTTTCATTCCTCTCTCTGTCTCTGACGCCCAAGAGCAAGCCAGGCGTGCAGGACACCAGCGCCAGCGGCTGGAAGCACTGGGAGGAGGGAACCAACGCGGCCGTGGGGACCCCGTGTCTTTGGATTCCTCCACACGCGAGGGGAGACGCCAGGGGACTGGGAGGAGACACCAGGGGTGGTTTCCAGGGCCTTTCAGCCACTTGGAACTACAGTTTAAAAGTGGTTCGTTGTGTACTTTAGCACAAAAGGTTCCATAACTTTTATCAGATTCTCAAAGGACCCAAGACATTAACAAAGTTTTAAAAAGCAAAACAGCTGGGCGTGATGGCGCACACCTGTAATCCAGCACTTGGGAGGCTGAGGCAGGAGGATCGCTGGGAGTTTGAGGTCAGCCTGGGCTACATAGCAAGACCTTGTCTCAAATAAACAAACAAACAAACAAAAAACAATCCCCAAACCCTGCTCTGATCCTGTGCCTCCAGATGAGATGTTAAGAAAAATCACATGCAGGCCAGGGATATAGCTCAGTGGTGCAAGCGCCTGCCTGGGAAGTGCAAGGTCGTGAGTTCGATTCTCTGTACCAAAAATAAAAAAAAAAAAGACGAAGCACCTGAGCTGAGAATCTGACTCCATCTTTCCACTGAGCTAGAACTCCAGGCAGAGAGGGCAGGAGCCAAAGATTTAGATGAAGCCAGGAGTGATGAGGCAGAGCAGTGATCCCAGCACTCTGGGAGGCTGAGCAGGAGGGCCAGCCTGGGCAATACAGTGACTTAGCAAGTTCCTGCCTCACAACAGAAAGGAAAAGGCAGGCCAGGGATATAGCTCAGTGGCACAGCCCCTGCCTGGCAAGCACAAGGTCGTGAGTCTGATTTCCGGTACCAAAAAAAAAAAAAGAAAAAAAGGAAAAGGCTAGCCAAGTGTGGTGGCACATGCCTGTAATCCCAGCACTCGGGAGGCTGAGGCAGGAGGATTGTTGCAAGTTTGAGGCCGGCCTGAACTGCATAGTGAGACCCTGTCTTAAAAAGACAAAAAAAAAAAAAAAGAACAGGCTAAGGATGGAGCTCAGTGCAAAGGCCCTGGGTTCAATCCACAGTGTCTGGAAAAAAACAAACAAACCCCCCCACAAAGACTTAGGTGACATGGCCCAGACAGCTGCCCACAGCCCAAGGCCGAGCACGCAGGCGGGCTGGACCCAGCGAGCGCCTTGTGGTGCCCACGGTCATTGTGGGTCTCAGGACCCCTCCTTTGGCCCAAACCTCAGGCGTCAGTGCATCTGGCCAGGGAGCGGGGGTCTCCGCAGCAGCCCCCCGGGGAGGGACCCCACCTCAGGCAGGGTACGGGCCATGCTCGTGCCCCTCCCCTCCGGGTTTACTTGTCTGTGGCCCTGCACATGCGTGGCCGCCTTGCATTTCTGCCGCTGGGGAAGTCGCCGCGGCCTGGAGCTCTTGACCCTCTGCTGCTCGCCTGCCGCCTCCCCCTGCAGCTCTGCCTTCTTCTCCCGCGTCTGGAAGGGCTTTTTCTCCTGCCGCAGTCTCAGCTCCTGGATCAGCTGCCTGCCCGCCAGCAATGAGTGAGAGGGGTCAGGGGCAAATGGTGACAGGCCACGGCAGGGTGGGGTGAGTGGCAGAGGGTCCACTGCCCGTCCGGGAAGACGGTCTGGGTAAGAAGCTAATTTCTGGGGCTCCCATGTTGGACGACTTCTATTTTTGTCTTTTTTTTTGTTTTTTGTTTTGTTTTGGTACCGGGAATCGAACCCAGGATCTTAGGCTTGCAAGGCAGGCACTGTGCCACCGAGCTATCTCCCCGGCCCTTTGTCTTGGGTTTTTTATTTTGTTTTGTTTTGGTTTTGTCTTTTTTTTTGAGACAAGGTCTCGCTATGCAGTTCAGGCTGCCCTTCAGCTCACTTTCTAGCCCAGGCTGGTCTCGAACTCGCAACGATCCTCCTGCCTCGGCCTCCTGAGCGCTGGGATTACAGGCGTGCGCCACCACACCCGGCCCTTCGTCTTGTTTTTTAAAACAGTATGTAGTTCGAGCTGCCCTTAAACTCACTAAGAAGCCCAGGCTGGCCTTGAACTCTCAGCAATCCTCCTGCCTCAGCCTCCTGAGTGCTGAGATGACAGGTATGCGCCACCATGCCCAGCTTGGGCCACTTTATATATGGGGCTCTCAGGCTAGTGGCCCTGGGAGAGGACAAAAGGTAGTGCAACACAGCAATGTCAGGAGACAGGGTAGTTCTAGGCCCTACCTAGTCCGTCCTCTTACTATGGGACCCCTTGATTCCCCTTCTGGCAAATGAAGTGGTTTTTGGATACGGAACTCAATGGCACGATTCCCTTCCAGCTCCTGGATCTCACACCTGCATGAATCCACAGAGCACCCTGGGGCATGGGGTGGGGGTGTAGAAGCAGCAACCCATCTGCTTAACAATATGGGGAACCAGTGTCACTTCAAGGTCAGAAACTGTCCCTGTCACCCCAGACCATCCAGCAGGTCAAATGCCATCCCTCCCCAGAACAGCCGACCACCTCGCCAGGCAGCTCCCTACCGGGCACAGCCCTCCCGAGCCCGGGAGGCAGCCGTGTTCTGGAAGAGCGAGGTGTTGTCCTGGAAAAACTTCTCGTACTTCTCCAGGTTCGGGCTGGGGTAAATCAGCCGGAACCCGCCGCAGTTTTCCCTCTCGTATTTCTCGGTTTTCTGCAGCCGGGCAGCCTGGAACCCCTTGGCCTCCTCCATCCTGTTGTGGAGGAGGACACAGGGCTGCCCTTAAAGGTTTTTTGGAAAAGGTCACGTCCAAACTGGAGGTCATCTCGGGCCAGATGGAGGCTTTGCATGTGGCTGTGGTCAGTGTTTACGAAATAAAAGCAAGGATGTTTTCTTGAAAGGACATCTCCTGGCCCTCCGGGGACAGCCCTTCTGATGGTTTACCAAACTCTCTCCCTTTTCAAGTAGAACCCCCGCGCCTGGTCAGAGCAGGCAGACTGTCGCCACCTCCCATTCACCGCCTTATTACCCTTCTCTGGAGAACCCTGGCTTGTGTTTGGCTAAATTTGAGGGCTTCTAAGATGAGCTTAATGAGCTTCTGTGGGCTGTGATGATCTCATGCTTCCTCACAGCACCCCGGGGAGGCGAAAGTCAGGCAGGGAGGCGTGATGAGCTCCCTCTCCGGGCAGGGACACCAAGATCCACCAAGACTGCTAGGGCCAAGTGCTGACGAGGAGAGGATGTCCCCGAAGCCCCTGGTAGCACGGCAGAGTGACCCGGAATTGCAGCCCAGATGCGCCATGCCGGGTGCAGGGCTGGGGGGAGCAAGGCGAATTCGGCGGCCACTTCCTGTTAAGAGTTTGGAAGGTGATTGGATGGTGGGGGAGGGGAGCTGGCTTGGGATCAGGGGCGTGGCCTGGTCAGAAGGGGCGGTCTGTGGGCGTGGCCTGGAAGAGTTTCTCTCCTCCCTTCAAATTCTGCTTCCTGCCCACCGTAAGGTGAGCACCTCTCCTCCGCTGGGCCCTTCCATAGTACCCTTCTGCCTGGCGCTGCTGACGCTGGACTGAAACCTCTACAAACTGTAAGCCAAAATAAACCTCTCCTCCTTCAAGCTGTGGAAGTAAGGGATGGTGTCTCAGAGACCCAGCCCTGACATCAAGACTTCCAGAGTCTTGCTCTTGGCTTCTGGAGCAGGACCATACAAGATCCCACTTACAAGGCGAAGGCTGCCCATGAGAAGCAAAAAGATGTTCCTCCTGCCAGCTCAGGAGCGTGGCATAAGGCTGAAAGGGCTTTCCTTTAGTAAGATGAAAGCCAGGCATGGTGGCACAGGCCTGTAATCCCAGTACTCAGGAGGCTGAGGCAGAAGGATTGCCCCTCCTGCCTAGGCTACACAGAGAGACCTTGTCTCCAAAAACAGGGCTAGTTGCATTTTTTTATATTGGTGATTCCTAAATCTTCCCATAATTTAATCAATTCAAATGCATTATATGCAGTTATATGTGTGTAATTTAATCTTCTAATTTCTAGGGACAAAGGCACATTGATAATAAAACTATTCAAACTGCTACATCCTGCATATAAACTCACTTTCCAAATAGGATTATTGTTTATTAAAATGAGCCCCCCTCTTGCAACTCCAGGCAAGGTTCATTCATTCGTTTGTTTGTTTTTTAAGACAGGGACTCACTGCGTAGTTCAGGCTGACCTCAAATTCACGGCAATCTTCCTGCCTCGGCCTCCCAAGTTCTGGGATTATAGGCGTGTGCTTTCATGCCTAGCTTTTATTTTATTTCATTCTATTATTTTAGCAGTCCTGGGGATTGACCACAGGGCTTTGTACTTGCTAGGCAAGTGTACTTTCCCACTGACCTACATCCTTTTACCTCAGGCAAAATTCTTTGATAGCCTTTCACAAATTACGATGCTGGGCCTCATGCTAAGGTTTTCCCTAATGGGTTGCACTTACCTCCCCCAGCAATCTTATGCAGCACAAGCTCCATTTGATGAAGGGATCGCTGAGGCTCAGGAGGTGACCGAAAGGCCACCTAACTGGTGGGCTGTGAAGTCGTAACTTGGACCAGGACAACCACAGCTGCAGGTCCCCAGGTCAGGGGCCAAGGCCGGGGGGCTGCTGTACCTGACCTCCCGAGAACGACACTGCTGCAGGAACCGGCCCCGCTGTCTCTCCTCCTCCAGGACTTTCTTTTTGTCACAGCTGCCCAGGTTGATGAGAACCAGGGTGTCATACAGCAGCCTGTCCTTCACCTCCCTGTCCAACCGGGTGTCAGTGGAGAAGCTTGGAGAGTGGTTGACCTGTGAGGACAAGACGACGGCTGGGGACAGGGCTGAAAGCAGGGTGAGAGGCTGCTGGGCTACCTCCAAACCCCAAGGCGGGCACTGGGGGCGCACGCCTGGATTCCCAACGCTCGGGAGGCTGAGGGAGGAGGATCACTGTGAGTTCGAGGCCAGCCTGAGCTGCATAGCGAGGCCAGCTTGAAATTCTGTCTCAAAAAAAAAAATACAGACAAAAAACAAAACAAGCAAAAGCCGGGTGTGGTGGTGCACGCCTGTAATCCCAGCACTCAGCAGGCTGAGGCAGGAGGATCATTGTGAGTTAGAGACCAGCCTGGGCTACAAAGTGAGCTCAAGGCCAGCCTGAACTGCACAGCAAGACCCTGTCTCAAAAAGACAAAAAACAAAACAAAACAAAATACGTAAGTACATAGTGACTGTGGCACTGACGCCTGACCCAGGCACCGTGACTTCCCAGGCACACCGCGATCCTCAGGGTGCCACCTGTTGGCCACATGCGAGGGCTCCTGGGGACAGGTGCAGCCAGGAAGCGGGGCAACCCCTGGGAAACCTCCTTTCACCCCCAGGAAAGCCGCTGGGCGACTCCGTTTCCAGCGCTCTGAACACTTGGAACTGAGTAGTCCGGGCCCCTGAGAGCGAGGGAGGCAGCCCCCGTGTGACCCTGAGCACAGTGGACCTGGCCTTGAGGACACAAGGTCCCCTTCCAGGGAGGAGACGCTGGAACCCCGCCTTACCTGGGCCCGGCGCTGGGTCTGGCTGGGCCTCGAGAAGACGGGCCTGTCCAATTCTCAGCCATCTACCCCCCTCTGGTGGCCGCCGCTCAGCTCCCGGCGGAGCCTGCCCCGGCCACAATACCCTGGGCCGAGATGGCCGCGCGGGAGCCGCAAGGTGGGCGGGGAGGGTCCCTGGAAGCGGGACCTGTGCGGCTTCTGCCCTCCTGGGCTCCCCACCTCCAGCAGCCAGGGCTTGAGCTTGCAGTCCAGCAGGATGTCGAAGCCCAGGATCTCAAAGCAGGCGCTGTTGAGCGTGTGGCTGGGGAAGCAGGTCTGGTAGTTGTGCTTGATGACCGGGTGGGCGGCGATGAGCGTCTTGATGATGAGGTCCTCGATGGCCCTCCAGATCTGCGGCACATCGTAGCCGTGGCTCTCCATGTAGACGTTGAAGGCCGACAGCTTCCTGCGGGGAAGCACGGGTCCCGGGCAGGGCTGGCGACGCCGGAACCGTCTGAGGCCCACGAGGCTCTGGGGCTGGGGGACTGAGCACCCAGGCCAGGGGGACAGGGACCAGGGCTGCGTCAGCCTCCGGCGTTTTCGAGAAGCCTTTTTTTGTGTGTGTATAAGTGGTGGGAATTGAACCCAGGGCCTTCACACTGAGCCCTTTGTATGTATTTCTTATTGTGAAGCAGGGTCTCACTAAATCACTAACTTGCCCAGGCTGGACTTCAATTTGTGATCCTCCTGCCTCAGCCTCCCGAGTGCCGGATTACAGGCCTTTGCCACCACACCCACAACCCAGCTTGGGGAGCCTCTTAAGCACAATGACACCTGGTCTGACCGAGGCCATGGGAGGGACTCTGGAAGCACTGAAGGTCTACAGGTCCTGTTTGTTTAAGGTTGCCGTAAAGCACACGCAGCCCGGGGTATTTCCACGGGGAAAGGTTAGCAGGTGTGCCGCGTTTGGAACGGAAAGCCCCACGCTGTCACAGGCAGGTGGAGAGGGCAGCTACCAACTACAGACTGGGGGGGAGGCATGGAGGCGCCCTCAGGGTGGAGGCTGTGGTTAGTTCCTCCAAAAGGGACAGTGACAAGCCCAAAACCCGAGTCTCTAAGGACAGAGGAGCAAAGGCCACGCAACAAGAAGCCCCTCCTCCACCTGCCACTGTCCCGGGAGAGAACGCGGCACCTCAGTAGATTTTCTGACATTCTCCCCTGACTTCTAACAGATGAAACGGAACACTTCCTGTTCCCGGTGACTCAGGGCCCAGCTCTGGGTGTGCTCGGTCTGTTATGCAGTTGTGTAATGGCCCAGGGTCGGTCATGAGCTTGACACCAGCCACGTGTCGGCATGAGAAGACGAAGGTGCTGTCACTCAGGCGCCCACTGGCCCTGGCTGCCAGCGTGGGTGACCGTCAGCATGGGCAGCGCGGTTCTCGGATGACGGGGGGAAAGAAGGGGGAGGCACCTGCTCTGTGCATGCACACCTTGTCACACAGGCCTAACCTCATGGTCTTCCGGGTGCTGAAATGCCACGTGCCTCTGAGGTGCTGTCCCCAAACCGATGGCCTATTCTTTAGTCCTCGGAGGCCTGGAAGAGCATGAGCCCCACAGGGCGACAGCTCTGGCTTCTCCACCCATCCTGGTGTTCCTAACGTGTGATCTCAGGCAACCTAACCTCTCAAAGACTCAAGTTCCCTCCTCTGTAAAATGGGCCTTGGCCCCGGCCCCTCAGCTCCCCACCTACAAAGTGTCGGGGTGAAAATTTTAACAATAAGCAGGGTACAGTGGCACGTGTCTGTGACCTCAGCACTTGGGAGGCTGATGCAGGAGGATCGCTCTGAGTTCAAGGCCAGCCTGGGCTCCCTAGTCAGACCCTTTCTCAAACAAAGCAAAACAAAAACTGGAAGAGAGCCGAGCAGACAGTAACAGGAATGGAAAAGCTGCCTATGACAAGACTTTTATGAATTCCTCTGTTCCCCCTTTCTGGGCACTCTTGGGCCCAGCCAGCCACGCGTCATGTGACACCAGGAGGGACTCTGACACATCCGTGGAGAATCTCCCATGTAGCAACATCCCCGGAAACCAAGGCCAAAGAGCCGCCACTGCCTGGGGAACCCTTCTCGCGCAGACAAGCAATCAATACACATCTGCTGGTGTCAGGAGGGCGCCAGGAACAAGGGCATGTTTCGGACTGTGTGTGTATTCTGCTGGGGAAACCGGGTGTTTATCTCTCCTCCCCGCAGCTCCGAGGTTTACAAGGTGGCCTGTGGTAATGATTAACGTCCAGAGGGCCTGAGCCCCGAGGGAAGAGAGGAGAGGCCACGTGACAAGACAGAGCCGTGGCGGGGATGGGCAGGGCTTGGGTAGGATCTGCCGTGGGGGGGCACAAGCCACTCCCTTACCTCTTGCTGCCCGAGTGAGCGTCTTGAATGAAGTTTGAACTGTGCTTATTAATGGAATAATTAGTCAGGTGCATGCAGGTATCGTCCTAGGGGAAGAGACACAGGTCTGTGGGATCCTCTCCCTGCCTTCCCATGGCCCCCCCAGGGCCCCCGTGCTTAAAGGGATGGAAAAGAAAGGGAAATCTTAGGATGTCCTTAAACCGGCAAAATAAGTGTGGTGGTGCATGCCTGTCATCCCAGCACTCAGGAGGCTGAGGCAGGAGGATTACCATAAGTCCAAGGCCAGCCTGGGCTACACAGTGAGTTTAAGGCTAGCCTGGACTACAGAGTGAGACCTTGTCTCAAAGAAGAAAAGAAAGGACATATTGATCCTGGCACTAAGTAAGTGCTCAACAAATGACAGTCAGAGCTGCGCATGGTGGTACACGCCTGTAATCCCAGCACTTGGGAGGCTGAGGCAGGAGGATCGCTGTGAGTTCGAGGCCAGCCCGGGCTACAAAGTGAGCTCAAGGCCAGGTCTCCATAGCGAGACCCTGTCTCAAAAAGACAAAAAAAGAAAAATAATAAAAAACAAATGATGGTCAAACCAATGATGCCTGAGGATGTGGATTTGAACAGGACGTGTGACAGGTCAAAGGGCAGGGGAGGTGGCGTGTCCCCTCTGCTCACCAGGTTGTCTGCACAAGGGTGAGAGTAGGAGGTAGTGGCAAAGCGGGCCAGGCCTTCGTTGTACACGAAAATCCTGAGGGGGTCACAGGACGTCACTAGCACATAAATCCGTAGGTCAAACTTGAACCCGTCAATGATAAAGGGCTGGGAGGAGAGAAGACACACGTGTCAGGGGAGCGCCTCACATGTGCTGGCCGCCGGCCCCTTCTCGGTTTCCCGGAGTGAAAACTCCGTGCTCTAGTGTCATCTGGGGAAAGTGCCAGGCTTGGCCAGCACTGGGGCGCAGGACAAGGAGACCGGGCCTTTGTGACCGGACGTGTGTCCGTGGGGAGGGCACCAACCACACTGAGCTTTGGTTTTCTGATCTCTTCAGCGCCACAGGTCACCGCCTCCAAGAGATATCTTGGCAACCAAACAAGTAATATTAAAAGGCCTCCTATGCAAAGGACGTGTGGTTGCCATCCAGGGCCACCCTAGGGGCGTGGCTCTGTGACAGTTCTCTCTGCATTGCTCTCTAGGCCCTGTGTCCCTGGGAGACCAACGCTTCCCTCTCCTCCAGAAAGTTCCTTCCCTGGGCAGGCTGTACCTCGGTGACCTCTGACCCCCAGAAGGGAAGGAAGCTGGTTTCCAGGATGGCTTCCTCTCCCAAAGGTGGGGCCTCCTCCACACACCAAGGGGGTCGCCCAGCTCTCCTCTGTCCCCACAAATGGGCCAGCGTGGTGGTGAGGCCGGGCCAAAGGACCAGACGCAAGGGTGAGGGACTCCCTGGCTGGCCCAGGCATGTGACAGCACCCCTGCCAGGAGGGGTCTGACAGAGCCCAGGGCAGAAGACAGGCTGCACCCCCTCTGCCCTCCGAGGCAGCCGTGGGCAATAAATAAATAATGGCGATCAGGAAGTACCTTTGAAATGTAGAGCTGACAGATCATATCTTCCCCGGGCTTGATTTCCTTCACCGTCCGGGTGATGAATATCCCTCGCCCTTGGCAGCCCGAGTCCGGCTTGCAAATGTACGTCTTATTTTTCCGGGCCCTGCTGTAGGTCTGCAGGCCTCCCCAGCTTCGCAGGGCAGGGAGGGAAAACAGGAACCTTTAGGCGGGGAAGCGGGAGGAGGAAGGCTACCGCTTCGGGTCACAGGAACCCCGACCACAAACGGAGAGCCACGTGGGGTGCCGCACACGACAGCTGTGACGCTGAGGGCCACGCCAGACGCCCCGACAGCCAGCAGTGGGAGAGACGGCAGGGGCTGGGACCCGGATTCAAAGCCAGGAAACACCACTGGCCAGCAGTGCGACCCTCTGCGAGGACCTGGCCTCGCTAAGCCTCCACCTCACCGCTGCGCATCACGAACCCCATCTCGTGTGGGCCGCCAGGTGTGTGACACCTCGCAGCCAAAGCCATGGCTGTGACCCCGGTCACTTGGCTTTCTGGGCTGCAGACAGGCGATCCCGAGCTCTGGACCTGACTCAAGCCCAAAAAGCAGCGCGACCTTGGATCCGTTGGTCTCTCACCCCAGTCTGGACTTCGTGTTCCACCCGGGGCACCTCCGCTTCAGCCAGAGCAGAACAGGGCAAGTGTCTCTGGGTGTACTTCACAGAAAGTATGTCTCTGCCTTGCTATACTTTTTTTTTTTTTGAGACAGGGTCTCACTGTGTAGCCCAGGCTGACCTTGAACTTGAGGCAATCCCCCTGCTTCAGCCTCCCGAGTGCTGGGATGCCAGGAGTGTGCCACTACGCCTAGCTGGAAGTCCAGTTTTGAAATGGGAAAAGTGAGACTCAAGAAGGGCTGACTAGGCCAGGCATGGTGGCGCACACCTGTAATCCCAGCACTCGGGAGGCTGAGGCAGAAGGATCGTTGTGAGTTCGAGGCCAGCCTGGGGTACAAAGTGAGCTCAAGGCCAGCCTGAACTGCATAGCGAGACCCTGTCTCAAAAAGACAAAAAAAAAAAAAAGGGCTGACTGCTACCCATGGCACCAAAGGGAACAGAGGCAGAGGGGATGACTGTCCTACTCTGACCCGGGGCGCCGACCACAGCCAGAGTTGCTACAGGGTTCTTTCTTTTTTTTTTTTTTTTTTTTTTTGAGGCAGGGTCTCACTATCCAGTTCAGGCTGGCCTTGGCCTTGAGCTCATTTTGTAGCTCAGGCTGGTCTCGAACTCACAACGATCCTCCTGCCTCAGCCTCCCGAGTACTGGGATTGCAGGTGTGTGCCACGGAGTCTGGCTGCTGCAGGTTCTTGAAACTTCAGGAACTGCACCGGTAAATGGTTGGAAGGGGTTCAAAATCAACAGGTTTCAGGGTCAGAACAAACTCTCATCCCAGCTGTGGGCACAGGTCGGAGGCACCCAGCCCCTCGCTGCGGTGTGTTTATAGGCAGAGCGCTGTGTGTTCCCGACCTTGGACACACCCTGTGTCCCTTCCCTTCCTCCAGGGCAGCGGGGAGGCTGGGGAGGGAGGGCAGGGGGCGGGTGGAGGAGGCAGGACCCGTGCCGGGCAGGGGTGAGCGGGGGACTCACTCAGCGGGGAGACACCAGGTCCTGGGGAAGAAGTGGAAGTCCTTCGGGAACATCTTCAACATGCGGCTCATGTTCCTGGCCAGCAGGTCCTTGCGGCAGATTTCGCTCATCCCAGGGAAGTGATTGATTTTCTGCGAAGGAAGCCAGAATCCATGACTAGCTGGGGGTGGGGAGCGGGCAGGGATGGATCCGCGGACCCCTGAGGACGGTACCTGGTAGCTCTTCATTTCCATCACCCGCTCCAGGGACACGGAGTAGTCCGTCCAGTAGAGAGTCCAGTCGTCGTCCTCGCCCCCCTCTCGGAGCCCATACTGCTGGGCCGCCCTGCGCACTGCGGCGGGGTTGGAGAGAGCGAGGCCCGTCAGCCGGAAGTGGGGAAAGACCAGCACCCAAAGCCCAGAACCAGCTCCTGGAGCATGGGAGCTGTCTTGTCCTGTCTGGTGATGCACGCTGCCCGGCACATGGAGAGTTGAAGTCGCTGTGAAGACAGCCAGTGCCACCGGACGTGGGGGCACACGCTTGTCATCCCAGCGCTCGGGAGGCTGAGGCAAGAGAATCTCTGCAAGTTTGAGGCCAGCCCGGACTACAGAGTGATAGGCCCTGTCTCAGAGAAAACCCAAAGAAGAAAAAAGCACACAACTGATGCCCCATGACCACCACAGGTTGACTGGGGCAAATGTTTAACATGGCCTGCTTTCCTCCAAACGCCAAGCCCTGAATGTTCAGCAAATATAAACGAACCCTTAACGTCAGCCAGAGCCAAGCTTGATTACAGAGGGGAACTGGCAGGAATGAAGGTTAGACAATGTATTTCAGAAGCCCAGAGGTGCCTCCTCCTCACCTTTCCTGTTAGTATTAATAGCTGGGTGCTGGCTCTGACACCAACCTGCAGGCCCTCAAGGGCCCGGGCAGGAAGAGCCTGAGGTACAAGAGCACGTGCATGGAACCTCAGTTACAATAAAGCAAGTCTGGAGGCCAGGTGCAGTCCATGGGCCACCGTTTTGTACCTCGTGCTCTAAAATCAGATCCTCAAATTACATATAAGAATCATAGATGGTTAGGCCAAGTGTGGTGGTGCATGTCTGTAATCCCAGCCCTCAGGAGGCTGAGGCAGGAGGATTTCGGGGAGTCCAAGGTCAGCCTGAACTACATAGCGGGACCCTGTCTCAAGAAACAAACAAAAATGGAATGACAGGTAATTGAAGTACACATCATTGTGGGCAAAACCCCTGATTTCTGAATGAGATCCCCAACCTCCTCAAGCAGCTCACGGAGCCAGGAGAACCAAGGAACAGGGCTTGCAGCACCCCTTCCATCCCCAAGAACACACGCAGTGACCCTTCCCATCCCTGGGGGAGACCGTGGATCCCCAGCCTGCGCCCCGAGAAGGCAGGTGCTCACCGCTCTCGTACCGGCAGCTGGATAGATTGATCACCAATCATCTGGAAAAGAGAAAAGCGACAGCAGCCCGACAACAGCAGCAGCCGGACGGTGGCAGCCACGCTGGCTCCCAGAGGCACCCTGTCCGGGCGGAGTGGGCCGCAGACCCCATCACTTGGGACAGGGACCCAGCAGGGCACAGAGTGGCGGAAGCGGACCCAGTCGCAGACGGCTGCTCTGCCCGGGACACGGGGCCCAGTACTGCAGCAGCAGCTGCTCATCGCCTCCGTCCTTTTCCTCCAGGGGTCCACTGGGGACAGGCGTGAAAAATCATTTTGGCCAAAATACTCGTGTCTCTCTCTCCCTCTGCCCACGAAGGGAAGCTGTGTGTTAGAGAGCAGACACGCTCTCTGCTCCGGGAAATATTAAACAAGAACCGGACAGGGCTGGGGATTTAGCTCAGCGACAAAAGCGCCGGCCTGGCAAGTGCAAGGTCGTGAGTTCGGTTCCCGGTACCGGAGAAAAACCAAAAAAAAAAAGAACCGGACTGCACGAGCTGCAGTCGAATCCTAAGAGGTCAGCAAGGCTCCACTCTATTCCCAGGACCCGTAAGTGCTTCCCTGTGCTTATGCAAGGAAATCGCTCCCCACTTTTTTTTTCCAGTGGGTGGGGGGATCAAACCCAGGGCCTTACACACACAGTAGGCAAGAACTCTACCACTGAGCCACATCTCAGCCCCTGCACTTTTGTTTTGTTTTGTTTTGAGATAGGGTCTCACTATGTAGTTCAGGCTGGCCTCGAACTCATGGCGATCTTCCTGCCTCAGCCTCCCTAGTGCTGGGATTATGGGTGTGTGCCACCACCCCCGGCTCCTACACTTATTTTTAAAAAGTCAGTCTAGGCTGGGCATGGTGGTATGTTCCTGTCATCCATCTCAGCACTCCAGAGGCTGAGGCAGGAGGATCCCTGTGAGTTTGAGGCCAATCTGGGAGACACAGAGAATTCAAGGCCTGACCGGCATAGGGAAGACCCCGTCTCAAACAAACAAGCAAACAAACAGACAAAAAGGAAAGTAGTGCCACCGTGGCAGCCCAGTCTCCACACCGTTTCTCCTCTGCCCGCTGGGTATCAGCCCAGCCCCTTCCCGCAGGCCCAAGATCTAACCCACACAATCCCTCCCCATCTGCAGTCCTAACCTCTTTTTCCTCCTCCTCTTCTTGTGCGGCTGGGTGCTCTGCAGCCCCTTCTGTGAGTTCTCCCTCATGAAGGCCAGGGTCATGATTTCCTTGAGATCCTCCACCGCGCCGTCCTCCCTGTCTTTGCAGGCAGCCCCTTCCTCGCCTTGCAAGGTCAGGCGCTGGAGAATTTTCCTGGCCTGGGCCGAGGCTCTGGGGAAATCCCAGCCCTCCCTGAAGAGAGGACGGAGGGAGCCGCAGTTACACGGATCCGCCTGCAGGGGGACCCCCCCTCCTTTGCTCAGGGGGGCGGTGAACCAGGGTCCCAGGCAGGGGGACAGGTGGCCGTTTGTCAAACGTGCCCCACCTCCGCCGTCGGTGCAGGCTCGGGATACAGCTGGTTCCACCGTGTGCCATTGAGCGTGAGCTGAGGACTTTCTCAGCCACGCCTGCCCTTGGTTTGGCCTCCTGGGGTTTTGGTAGCAGGCTGAGATGCTATGCATAGCGCTAGCTGGTAAACAATCTTATTATTAACGAGAGGGGGTGGGTGTCTGGAGACAGCTCAGAAGCCAGCCCCAAGCCCCAGGCTCAGGGCCAAGGGAGCTGGTCCCAGAACGCAGGGCCAGCCTGCAACCTACGCCTGTCGCGGGTGGAGTGTGGGGCTGATCTGCAGCTGACTGACAGGAGGGGCCAAGCCAGGGCCAGAGACAGACCTTCAGGGACCCAAGCACAGGGAAGTCTGTAAGTCTCCCCACCATCAACCCTGAAAAACAAGAACAGCCAGGCATGGTGGACACATCTGTAATCCCAGCACTAGGAGGCTGAGGCAGGACAATCCCTGCCAGTTCAAGGCCAGCCTGGGCTACATAGAGAGTTCAGGGCCGGCCTGAACTACATAGAGAGACCCTGTCTCAAAACAAACAAACAAGAATAACTTTTTTAGGGGCTGGGGGTTTAGCTCAGCGGCAAAGCGCCTGCCTGGCAAGCGCAAGGTCGTGAGTTCGGTTCCCGGTACCGGAGAAAAACCAAAAAAAAAAAAAAAAAAAAAAAAAAAAAAAAAAAAAAAAAAAAAGAATAACTTTTTTAAAAGACAAAGTTACAACACACATATAAGGAAATCTAGCAAAATTTGCATCCTCCCCCATCCCATGAGACTTCTCTGCTGTTTCTTTGAAATTTCAAATACGAAATTTTTGGAAATGGAATCAAGTGTCCCTGCCTCATGACTCTTTAGGATCATGCTTAGTTGCCAGGCATGGTGGCACATGCCTGTCATCCGAGCTCTTGGGGGGCTGAGGCAGGAGGATCGCCACAAGTTCGAGGCCTGCATGGGCTCCATAGTGAGACCTTGTCCCACAAAGCAAACATGCGTAGTTTGCCTTTGGAACTCAGCTCGCCAAGCCCAACGGTGTGAATTCCCTTACACCCTGAGGTCCTGTGACCATAGAGCCTGCCAACCACTTTTGTGTGTGTGTGTGTGTGTGTGTGTGTGTGTGTGTGTGTTGGCTGTACTGGGGATTGAACTCACGGCCTTGTGCATGCTAGGCAAGCACTCTACCACTGCGCCACATCCCCAGCCCTGCTCACCCTTTCAGCATGTCTCTTTTGAGGTCCATAGTCCTTTGCTACTTACAGAGTCTTTCCTCTTTTGGTCTTTAGATTTTTTAAAAAGGTATTAACACCTTTATTATAATTTATTATCACTGACCCTTACGGGGGCCTCTGTGTGTGTGTGTGTGTGACTGTGTGTGTGTCTGTGAGTGTGTGTTGCTGGGGATCAAAGCCAGAACCTCCATCTCACACACACTAAGGGAGTGCCCTACCCCTGAGCTACACCCACAGCCCACAGAAGAGAAGGAGCTATACACAGTGGCACACGCCTGTCAGGGGAGGTTGAGGCAGGAAGGTTGCAAATTCAAGACTAAGTTGAGCAATTCAGCAACTTAGCAAGAACCTGTCTCAAAATAAAAAAAAGAAAACTGGGCTGGTAGCCAGGCGTGGTGGCACACGCCTGACATCCCAGCACTCAGGAGGCTGAGGCAGAAGGATCGCTGAGAATTCGAGGCCAGCCTGGGGTACACAGTGAGTTCAAGGCCAGCCTGCATTACATAATGAGACTGTGTCTCAAAAGAGGGAGGCTGGGGATGTAGCTCAGTGGAAAGGCTCAGGGTTCAATCCCCAGCACTGCAAATAAATAAATAAACAGTGGGGGTAAGGAGGTCACCAGCAGCTTTCCCACTCTAACACAGTAACTTGACTGGCATTTGTATTCGCTTTTATTCTCAGCATAATATCTTTTATGTAACTGCAATCAATTTGGTGTCTGCTAGTTTTTTCTTTTTGTGGTGGTAGAGTTGAGACCTACGCGCTCCCACATGCTAGGCAAGTGATCAACCTCTCAGCGATAATCCCAGCCCTGTCTCTACTTTTTGCCTACTTAATGTAGCATCAGCATAGTTATGGAGAAGTCCCTGTTTCTAGCTCTCACGGATGTGTACCTTCTCAAAGGGAACATGCTTGGATTTAACCAACCACTGCCTTACTGTTGGAAATGTGATTCTGATGTTATGTAAATGGCTCCCAAGCATACATTTTCATGAGTTAGGCGTGGTGGTACACAGGTGTAATCCTGTACTTGGGAAGCTGAAGCAGGAGGACTGAAAATTCAAAGCCAGTAAGGGATACATAGCAAGACCATGTCTCAAAGAAACAATTAAAAAGCCGAGCGTGGTGGCACACACTTGTAATCCCAGCATTTGGGAGGCTGAGGCAGGAGGATCATTGTGAGTTCGAGACCAGCCCAGGCTTCAAAGTGAGCTCAAGGCCAGTTTGAACTGCATAGTGAGACCGTGTCTCAAACACCTCCACTCCTAAAAAAAAAACAAGAATTAAAGCCAGGCATGATGGTGTACGCCTATAATCCCAGCACTTGGGAGGCTGAGGCAGGAGGATTTCTATGAGTTCCAGGCCAGCCTGGGCAACACAGTTCAAGGCTAGCCTCATCTACACAGCAAGATCCTGTCTCAAAAACCAAACCAAAACAAAAAACAATTAAATGTAACACGTAAAGGGTCTTCTACTTCTTTAGAATTATTTTCTTAAAGTAATACTGTAGAGTTAATAAATATAAAAATTATAGCTGCTGGGGGGTACATAAAATAACTGTGCTGTTTCCCAGAGGGATCCCAGTAATTTGGAATACTACCAGCCACGTGTCATTACTGGGGTCTCTTGGGAATCGCCTCCCCTCTGGACCCACGCTTGGTAATTCTGGACAACTGTTTAATCCTACAGCCACCTCTGCAAACATTCCTGTACCCAGCCCCCTTGCTTGGGCCGTTTCCCAAGCCTAATTTGCTGGCAAGGTGGGGCTCTAACTGCGCAGGCTCCCTGCGCCTTCTCCCACAGTGAGCAGTTACTGTGGGGTTGGCAAAGACTGCTCACATCCATCTTCTCACCGAATGTTCACAACTACCCAGGCAGGAGGGCAGAATTATACACTGGCCAAGCAGCGGCTCTTGTTTTCTCTCTCTTTTTTTTTTTTCTTTCTTTTGGGTTTGTTTGTTTGAGACAGGGTCTCGCTCTGTAACCCAGGCTGGCCTCGAACTCAAATCAGTCCTCCTGCCTCAGCCTCCCGAGTGCTGAGATTACAGGTGTGCGCCACCACGCCCAGCTGTTTTTCTCTCCCTTGTAAACCAGGATGGCCACTAAACCCCAGTCCCTTTAAAGTGACCCCAACGCAGGAGGACAGAGTGGAACCTGGCCCGACCACCAGGTCAGCCGTGGGCCGGGAGAGCAGCCTTCCCAGGAAAACAGGCCTGATCCTGGCACATCAGAGAGAACGAAGGAGGAACACGAAATCTCGACCTTGGGCTGCGCCCTCCTCCCGGGGAAACCATCCGCTCCACTCCAAGCGCACAGCCCGCAGCTGCTCCTGGCCCAGCCCGCGGGGAGGTGCGGCTCGTTTACCTAGAGGTTAATCTTAACCCTGAGAGACTGACCCTGAGTCCAGCCCTGGAGGTGCGGGCTGTCCTGGCCCTTTGTGCCCGTCCTTGTCCTTGCCCGAGTGGGAAGAACAGGCCGGGGCTCAGACTTCTCTCCCTCAGTGAGAACAACCAAACAAGAAAGAGAAGTGTCAGAGGGCTTCCTTGCCTGACCCAGGGACTCCAGTGTGCGATTCACCCCGGGAGCAGCGGGTGTCCCGCCTTGCGGCCCGTGACCCCTGGGTTCCAGCGCCCCTCGGACAGGCACAGGTGGCAGACAGCAGTCCCTGTGTGAGTGACCACGTCCGCTTTGTCTTTGTCCCCCTTCCTCTTTCTTTCCCCAGCCCTCCCCTCCCTATTTAATGCCCGAGGCGGTGTCCTGCTGGCTTCTCTCCCAAGGCTGGAAATATCTCCTTCAAAGCTTGCCCGCGGAGGCCTTGCAGCCCAAATCCACCGGTAGCTCAGAGCTCATGGAAACGCTCTCTTGGCCCTCAGTACTGCATTGCCAGTGCTATAGCTGTTCAGTAGAAGTGGCTGCCAGTAACCAGGAAGCGCAGGTTTCTCATAAAACCTAGATTTCCTTTTTTTTTTTTTTGAGACAGGCTCTCACTACGTAGTCTAGGCTGGCCTTGAACTTTCAGTGATCCTCCTGCCTCAGCCTCCTGAGTGCTGGGATGACAGGCGTGCGCCACCAGGCCTGGCTGTGCTATTTTTTTTTTTTTAAAGCACGAGCCTTGTGTCCTTTTTATACAGTGAAAAGTTTTCACTCTCTTGTAACCATAGCTGCTGCTTTGGACCTGTTTGCTGAGGCGTTATCCAGAAGCACTTTACAGGCATAATCCTTGTAATTCCCTGTCACACCCACGTTCTGGTCTTACAGATGAGAAGGGTAGGGTGCAGTGGGCTCAGAGAAGGCACCTCTGGGCTCAGAGCCCACAGCTGTCTGACACTGCACTGCCCCCTGCCTTTCCTCTCTGCTCCTAGCCCACAATGGTGCAACTGCAAATAACTCCTGGCTGCCAGACGCAGCCCTGATTGTAGTTCCCCACCCCTTTTGCGTGCGTGTGTGTGTGTGTGTGTGTGTGTGTGTGTGTTTGAGACAGGGTCTCACTATGCAGTTCAGCCTGGCCTTGAGCTCACTTTGTAGCCCAGGCTGGTCTCTAACCTGCAATGATCCTCCTGCCTCAGCCTCCTAAGTGGTGGGATTACAGGTGTGCGCCACCACGCCTGGCGGTAACAGTTTTCTTACCAAGATAAAAAAACGCAAAAAAAAAAAAAAACGCTCAGTTCACCTTTGCAAACAGGATCGTTAAGACAATGGAAAATACACTGCTGATTCTTCCCCTTTAGCGTGGCTTGGCTCTTTCCGTCTTTGAACCAGAGGCCATTGACCAAATCCTTTCAGGCAGCACAAAAATACTCCGCCTTGGCCACAAGGGGGAGGCGGTGAGCACTGGGCTGGCCCCAGGCAAATACACTATGGGTTGTTTGGGGAAGACCTCTGAGGCGGGTTCTCCCGGTCACTTCTGAAGGACTGCGGTGTTGCTGGCTCTTGCGTCCCCGGGGGGCTGCCAAGGCTGGGACAGGGTTTAGAGCCCGCGGTCACAAGACCACCTGAGTGTAGCTGTCCTCGACATGAAAGACTAACCTGGTGGTTGACCAAGGTAAGGACCATAGGGACCGCTTTTCAGGGGTTACCAACGTTACTTCAACCCTGCCTTCACAGGCTGGACTTTCCTCCCAGGCTGGGAGCGCATGCAGCACTGTGTCGGCCTGTGACTTTCACCCTTTCCCAAAATAATAGCGTTTCCACCTTGTAGTCCGTTTATTTTTTGTTTGCTTGTTTGTTTTTTGAGACAGGATCTTGCTATGTAGCCCAGGCTGGCCTTGAACTCAGCAATCCTCCTGCCTGGGCCTCCCAGGTGCTGGAACTACAGGGGTGCGCCACCACACCCAGCTCCCCCTTTAATCCTTTTGGTCTTCACTTCCCTACTGAAAAGCATCCCTCTATAAAGGCTTCTAACAGGGCCCAGCATGGCAGCACACACGTGAAATCCCAGCACTCAGGAGGCTAAGGCAGGAGGATCAGGAGTTTGAAGCCAGCTTGGTCTGACAAATCTTTTTTTTTTTTTTTCCCTCGGTACCAGGAATTGAACTGAGGACCTGGTGTTTGGCAGGCAGGCATTTATGCCCCTGAGCTATACCCCCAGCCCTTAAAGCCAGCTTGGACTACATAGTGAGACTCTGTCTCAATCAGTCAATTATTTAAAGATCTCTACTGATCAGGTCTCAGAAAATGTCAAATGAATGGGGGACAAAAAGAAGCAGCAGTGAGACCTCTGGATCTAGCTTTCAGCTCTGCCCTTCAGCCTCAAGGTGACAAGCAGCTGGGTTATTATTTCCTCTCCCGTTCACGATCTTGTCCATGATTCCGTGATTTGCACCAGGAGGATAAAAGCTGCCCATGTAGAGAAGGGCTTCGAGCTCTGATCCAAGCAGGATAAAAGAAGATGCCTGTTCCCGTCTCTGCTTTTCATCTCTGCCACCTTCCAATTTCAGCAAAGTACAGACGGACAAAAGAGGGCCAGGCCACCCAACACATAGGGCTTTGCCACCATAAGCGAAGAGACCAAAGGCCAGGTCTCACCAACGCAGAGGCCCTCTTTCGCTCTGCCAGGATCGAGGCACCCTGCAGGGTTGGGCTGCCCGGTTCCCGCCCAGCCATTTGCCCACTATTCAGTTTGGGTTCCTAACAAAGTCAGGCCGGGCTGAATCCAAACTCAGCTCTCCTAACAGGAGTCCGCATTTGCTGACCAGCGATCGAGGGGAACTCGCCACTCTGCCCCGTTGCTCCCTAGGCAAAACGAGGGTTAAGCGTTCATAAACCTTCCCCCCAGCTGGGTGTGGTGGCGCATGCCTGTAATCCTAGCACTCGGGAGGCTGAGGCAGGAGGATCCTTTGTGAGTCTGAGACCAGCCTGGGCTACAAAGTGAGCCCAAGGCCAGCCTGAACTGCACGGCGAGATCTTGTCTCAAAATGTCGAAATAAATAAATAAATAAATAAATAAACATAAACCTTCTCCCTTTGTTGCTAAATGTAAGTGATTTTTTGGTGTGGTTTCTGTTTGTTTGTTTGCACAGGGTCTTGCTATGCAGTTCAGACCATCCTCGAACTCACTATGTAGCCCAGGCTGGCCTCGAACCCGCGGCAATCCTCCTGCCTCAGCCTCCCAAGTGAAGTGTTACGTTTTTCCTAGGCTTCAGCTCTTAAAGAATTCTCTCCAGGCCAGAAGCTGAAGGGAGAACTCTGTACAGGACTATCCGGGCAGGGGACATGTCTCTCGGGAAGGGTTCTCTACGTGAAGACCGAACAGCAATGGGAAAGGAGGAGGCGATCCCCGCGATCGTTGGTATCTAAGGGACAGGTCCCGGGTGCTGCTGGATTCAGGAAACCCGGGAGGAGTAAAAGAGATGAGCTACAGAGAGGGGAGTGGCTGGCACCGCGGAGCGCGTCCGGGGGGGACGGGGAAACAGCAGAGCGGCTGTGTGGGAGGAGGGGACGCTGGGGCCGGGCACCGGGCCCCGGGACGCGCTTACCCGCGGCTCCTACTACCCGGTCTCGCCCTGGCGGCGCGGCCCGAATCGCCGGCAGGGGCACCTGCAGCCCCCGCGGGGCCGCCTGGAGCCGCGCTCCCATTGGCTGCCAGACCTCCGCGCCCCAACCCGCGCTCCTCTGCATTGCGGGTTGGCACCGCCCTCATATTTGCATATAGGACCTCCTAGGGTGTCCATTGGTCCCTTCCGACGGCGGCCATGCCCCCTCCCTCCCGGATCCAATTAACCGCTCCGGCGCTCCGAGAGGGAGGTGCCCCACGTTGTCCCGAGAGACGCGACGGACGCAGTCTTTCGCTCCCCCCACCTCTCGCGCGCCGTCCGGGCGATGTGCGCAGGCGCGGTCGAAGGTCTGGCTACCGAACAGCAATCTCCCGTTGTGCTGGATATCCTAAAGCAGAAACGGGAGGCGACGTGAGGCAGCGTTGCATCGGGGTTCAAGTCAAGAGCTCAGGCACATTTTTGCCTATATAACCTTGGCTTATCCACAGTACGTAAGGCTTATTTTACCAGTCAAATGGGCATGGTAAACCCGTTGTGGTGGTGCATGTCTCTGTAATTCCAGAATTTGGAGGCTGAGGCAGGAGGATCTCTGCAAATTCGAGGCCAGCCTGGGCTACATAGTGAAACCTTGTCTCAAAAAAAACAAAAATAAATAAATAGCCACAGTTTCTGAGGCATATTCGAAGTTACTCTAGCCCATTCATATCAATAGCGCCTTGGTTAAATTAGGCTCCTTTCCCTTTAGACCTGTCACACCCAAAATTCCTTAAAAATACTGTAAACTCATGAACTGGGTTAGCTTTGAAAAATAAAGCTCAGGAACCTGATCTTAAGATAAAGGAACAGGTTGAGAAAATTCAAAGAATGTTTAAATTATCCATCTAAAAAAACAAACCTGGGCTGGTACCTGTAAAAGGGGCCATTACGCTTACGGGAACGGTGGGCAGTCTTTTCATAGGTTTCTACCTACTCAGGCGAAAGAATGTTCCAATTCCAAAAGGAACCTCCTCTTGTTTCTCGGAACACCCTGAACTCTACTCCTGAGTGTGTGCGTGTACAATGCTGCCTGATCAATCACGTTAGGCCTCTTTTTCTTGTTTTTTGGGACAGGTTCTCACTATGTAGTCCATGCTGGCCTTGAACTCACTAAGTAGCCCGGGCTGGCCTCAAACTCACAGCAACCCTCCTGTCTCAGCCTCCCGACTGCTGGAATTAAAGGCATGCACCAGAGTAATGATCTTTCTTTCTTTCTTTTTTTTTTTTTTTTGGTCTTTTTGAGACTGTCTCACTACGCAGTTCACGCTGGCCTTGAGCTCACTTTGTAGCCCAGGCTGGTCTCGAACTCACAACGATCCTCCTGCCTCAGCCTCCCAAGTGCAAGGATCACAGGTGTGCACCACCACACCTGGCTCGTTCTTTATTCTTGAAAATTTGCCAGGTGTTTAACTTGACTCTGAAGTGTGGCAGGTCCTGGGGCAAGGTTTAGTCTCCAAGTATGAGTCATTACTGTCATTACTGTCATCTGAGCTGATATGGGGGAAAGAAACTCCCAACCTGCTCCATGTCCAAAACGCCACGTTCTAAACTTGAATTCCAGGCCAGCCTGAATGAATTCCAGGAACAACAGAGGTTAAGAGTCGGAAGAGTTCGTGGAGAGAAAGCTTCTGTCTAAGAGAGACAGAAGAGGCCTGGAAAGTGGGCTACCCGTCAACCCCGCTTCTCAGGGTTTTTATGAAGCCAAGTCAGGAGGTGTGGGTTTTTGTTTTTGTTTTTGTTTTGGTTGGTTTTTTTCCAGTACCGGGAATTGAACTCACGACCTTGCGCTTGCCAGGCAGGCGCCGTGCCACTGAGCTAAATCCCCAGCCCTGGAGGTGTGGGTTTAAGGTGGGACAAAGCTATAGTCAGCTAATAAGGTTACGAGTATAGTCGCAGTGGCCTGTCGCTGCCTGCAGGGTTCCCACCTAACTGGGCCGCCTGTACTAACGCCTTTGAGGGTACTCAAGCAGAGACAGGCAGAGGAAGATGAAGGCTCCTTCTCGGGAAGTCTGTAGTGAAAAGCACTAAGGGAAGATGCCAAAGCCACCTCTCTGGTGAGGATCCTGCTGGAGTTGATCCAGGACATTTCTCTGGAGGATTTTAGCAGACTCGTTGGAAACTCGGCCAAGAACTTTATGGTGTGCGGTGAGGGGACGCTAGGGAAATGGTAGGTTAAGGAATCAACCAGACCAAAGTCTACCAAGGTAGTATAAAGTTTCTTCAAAGTGGAAGCATTTGAGCTACAGCAGATAAGAAATCTTTCAGAAAGAAATCTTGCAGGCCATGGTGGCACATGGCTGTGATCCCAGCACTCAGGAGGCTGAGGTAGGAGGATCACAAATTCAAGTCTAACATGGGCAAATTACCAAAACCCTCTTTCAAAAAAATAAAACAATGAACAGGGCTGAGTGTGTTGCTCAGTGGTAGAGCACCTTTAGTTTGAGCCCCAGTACTGCAAAATAAATAAGTAAATAAATAAAGTCTTGGTATCCATGGTGAGTGTGAGTGAAGGGTGGAGGAAGGAATGAGCTCAGGACACTGAGAAGGTAAGGTTTTTGTATACCCTGCTTTTTTGTTTTTTGGGTTTTTTTTTATGTTTTGGGTTTTTGTTTGTTTGTTTGTTTGTTTGTTTGTTTTTGAGATTGCGTCTTGCTATATGTCCAGGCTGGCCTTGAACTCATTATGGAGCCCAGGCTGACCTCAAACTCCAGCGACCCTCCTGCCTCAGCCGTCCAAGTGTTGAGATGATAAAAGCATGTGCCGCCACGCCCAGCCATGGTCACGTTAATGTACGCAATAAACTGTAAATGTAAGTGGATTCAGTTTTCACTGCTTTAGAAAACAACACAGTAGTTCCCTGAGGTTTCGGTTACTAGAGCCCAAAGGCAGTCTCAAAATATTAAATGCAAAATTGTAGAAATAAGCATTTCATAAGTTCTAAATTGTGTGCTGCTCTAAGTATCACGAAGAAATCTTTTTTGTGGGTTTTTTTTTTTTTTTCGTTTGTTTGTTTTTGTTTTTAAGACGGGGTCTCACCATGCAGTTCAGGCTGGACTTGAACTCACTAGGTAGCCCAGGCTGGCCTCGAACTCATAACGATCCTCCTGCCTCAGCCTCCAGAGTGCTGCTATTACAGGTGTGTGCCACCTGCTGGGCAAAAGGACCTTAAATTCAAGGCCCACTTGGGCTACATACTGAGACCCTGTCTCAAAAAAACCAAACAATAAACACAATAAAATGCAGAAAGTTTTCATTTTGGCACCTGGGAATGTGATCTGAACTCGAAACAGAAGCCTGTTCCCGGTTGCTCATTTCCCACCCGGCTTGCCAGGGTCAGACAAGGGTGGCTCACTCCCTCCCAAAGGCAATGGCTGCTTCTGGGGCAAATATAGCAGAGAGAAGTTTCTTTCCAGACTTAGTTGCGGCTCCTTGGAGAAGGTGCTTCTGAGTTTAACCCACTGTAGACAGCAAGTGTTTAGGGCGTGTGCGTAGGAACTAAAGAAACCCCCCCTTTTTTTTTTCAGTATTAGGGACTGGGGATTGAGACCAGGACCTTCACACTGAGCTACATCCCCAGGCACCACCCTATTTTATTCTTTTTTTT